TAGAAATTAATTTTGCGAGAGACATTAGAGTATAATCAGCCAGCTAAATCCATATAAATTGCATCGACGGTATGCGCGATCGGTGAATTATTAAAAACCAATTCCGTCCCTGGCCTAATTTCTTTACTCCCGTGTAACGCTCATACGCGAACGTACGCGACTAACTGTAAATCGCGGAACTACCTCCTAACTGTAATTCGAGCTTTCAGCGATCGCGCGGCTATATTACATTATCAGAAGAATTTAGGAATGTTAAGGTCGCACGCTGATCTGCCGGACGACGATACGTGAAGGCCGTCGAGTACAACACGTCGCCTGCTATTGAAATTCATGGACATATAATCGCATGACCTCACACACTAACTACATACTGTATTTAAATAGATGTTACTTATTTCAAGTGTCTTATAGTTTATATATTCGCAAATTTATCACAAGTTCATCATAAACCGAATCTACTCAAAATATATTCTAAATTTTAGTAAGTTTAGCATTTCAGTTCAAGATATTAAAACAAAAATTCGGTTTGCTTGCTTACATAGAGTCTAACTTTTTATTCGATGAAGCTTTATAATATTTTTGTAAAAAGAATAAATTTTTCTTTTGTGTACATGAGTAAGCTTTTCTCAAATTTGCCGTCAGTATATTTTAAGATTATTATCAATAAAATATGTTGTTTTGTTGATAATTATTACCTAAAAAGAGGAAAGAATTCAGTAATCGCTTTCCTTAACAATAGAATATTTTCATTCTGTCTCTCTTTCTTTTTCTTTTTGAATCTGTATGTTATAGTCATATTGCACTGAAAGAAATTATTCGATAAGAAATTAACAAACGGATTTTTCCGATCAAAATACCGATGAATTTTTGTATCCGATCAGGAAACATCTGATGAAAAATATCGGTTCATAATTTTTTGATCGGTTTATCTGAAATGCCATTATAACCGGAAGTATTCAATTAAATTTAATCAGATATCCTAATCGAATATAAAGAATATAAAGATCGAATATAAAGATATTTGAATCAAAAATATCCATTTGTTAACTTTTTATCGAATAATTGCTCTCAGTGTGGGACAAAACATTGATTAAAGAAGCTAATAAGAGAAAACATATTATTATCGATTATTAAATTTAATAATATAAATATACTTTCGAATTTTTCATTAATATTGTGAATTTAAGTATTCTCGCAATAATATCGGAGGAGAGATCAACAACTCGCCAATACAAGCTCATATAGTACTGGTAGATTTTGAGAATGTTCAAAAGTAAATTACGTGTATTATGTATAAATTACTCAAGATATATACAATATTCTACTAAGAACGTATTGAGAATATCTGTATGTCCCGACTGATCACTTCTTCAATGTGTACTGAGAACATTTCTAGATGCATAAAAAGTAAATTTGAGAAATGTGTTTTATTGAATATATTTCTCAAATATATCTATTATGTGCCAAATGACATTTTTAAAACATACTAAGGAAGCTGGCAGTCGAAAATGAAGCAGTCACTAATTTGCTGGAAACTGATTATGTCACGTTTGGAGCGTTCAGAAAGAGAGTCCAAGCATACCACAATTAACTTCCTGCAAGCTACGTTTCATTTTCGACTGGGAGGTCATACGAATATTCTCTATATGTTCTTCGTAAAATATAGTGCATATGTTAAATATGTAAATAATATACGTAATCTACAGTTGCGATATATCCTCCGAATATTTTCGGAACGCACCTGCGTTGTATGGGGATCGTTGTCAGGGAGAGCGGTGTGAAAGAATATCGAACGGCTCACTTGGACGAGCTTTATACTTTACATAGTTAATGGTATATTTATTTGTTAGGACAAAAGAGACGCGTGTACAATATATTCGCATGCGTATTCCTTTTAATGACATTAATCTATGTATACGCACACGCGGAAACGCTCGCGCGAGACGCAATTACGGCGCCGGCTGCACTTTCGTCGCCGAGGAAAAGCGCGTCTCCGTACACGGCTTACGCAACATCGCATATTTTCACATTTTCTCTCAGCGAGAAGGATCCGTCCACGTTCCTCGCCATTCACCGCGTTCCATGTGTGCGTACCGTATGTGTTACACACACATATATATGTATATATATGCAGTTATAAATTTAATGAGTCTTCTTTCGCATTCTTGATGGCACATTCCTATCAGTGCTCGTCTCAGACGCGAGAGTTAATAAGAAAAAAAGGACAATTAATAACACGCACGTCCCTATGTGCGACCCAATCGTCCTCGAACGAACTATCGCGCTTTCGCGTGCACGCATACTCACGCACGCACGCACGCACGGGCACATATTTATGCATGCACACCATGCAATTTACGGTACACTCATTGACGTACAATGATGTTACGATACGCGTTGGCGCTCCACTCCATGCAGTGGCCGTGCATTTTTTCATTTCGCGCTTTGCACAAAACGCAAGTCACGGAAAGCCGCAGATCCGTGTGGTAGTGGCGCACCGATTCGGATGCCATTAGCATTCCTTCAAACGCAAGATAATTCCTTATCTTGTACCGTTCTTCCGGCGGTTGTTGTTTCGCCTAAGTAGCGGCCACCTCAAGCGGCGGAAGAACGATAAGAAGCAAAGAGAAGGCACTATGTTCTGTTGTACACGCTCCTTGTACCGCTATGCGTGTCCTCTTATGCGATCGATTGGTAACGTGGCCTCTCACGCGCCATATTATTTCAAGTCGGGACACGATAAACTATGAAATGAAGAGAAAACACGAGTTAATTGCGAACGACACCGTTAATGCGCGAAAGAAAGGAATCAAACGCAATTCCCAACTCGACGCCAAAGTCCGAAAAAGTGAGGAAAGTAACGAGAAAATGCGAAATATGTTATTGAACTTCCCGGTAAGTTGTTTGTCTAAATCATTGTGTCGTACTCGCGTTCTCTTTTTCTGTTTCTCCCACTGTGTGACTTTTAAGTCAGCTCCGTAGGCTGCGCTCATTGAACAACAAAGATATAATCGGACCCTATATTGAGAGAAATTATTCGATAAGAAATTAATAAATCGATATTTTCGATCAAAATACTGACGAATTTTTGTATCAAAAAATCCGATGAGAGATATCGATTTATAATTTTTGATTGGTTTATCTGATGAAACGCCATTATGATCGAAAATATCCGATTAAATTTATAATCGGATATCCTAAACAAATATAAAAATTGATCGGAAATATCCGTTTGTTAATTTTTTATCGGATAATTTCTCTCAGTATAATATACCGTCGCAGACAATCAATACATTGTTCGGTACATATACATCGGTACCGATATATCGAATCGGTATATTTGGCGTACGAACATATGCATAGACCTCGACTTCATGGAAGACGATTAGTGATTTTGCTTGAATGTGCAGGACGATTGAGTCGAGATAGGATTTTACAGTTACGAGACAACCAACGCTGTAACTGTTTCTATACTACTGATCGTAGCATTTATACTACATATGTAACGTCGTTTACATACCAATTCTAATATAATTACAAATCGTCAGCCATATGTCTCGCGTTTTATTGTATCCTACATTTATATAGTACATTTTTCATATTAAAAGTATGGCTGCATCCTCCCCGACGATAAACGATAAACGCTCAAGTATGAACGGCTTTTGAATCCGTTGGGTTTCATATTATCGCATGCCAGTCTCAGGAATGCTTATATGCTAAAAATATGAAGCCGTTACCCTATTCGCAGAAAGGAGCGACATTACGAGCTCCTTCCTCGGTACATTTTTTCTCGTGGAAAATCCGATAATTACATTTTCGGCATAATATTCTCAGAGGGAATAGAAATACCCAAAGATACTTTCACTATTCTATTTTTTCCGTTTTAACGAGATGAAACCTCTTTTCGAGCACGCGCACACAGGCGAAACGACTTCAATATTCTTTCACCGACATATTCTTTTTTGGGGGGAGGAGGGAAATTCGTTACAGTCTAATAATCGAATAATTTTTTTCGCATATATACAGCCAGAACGTGCAGACTTTCCCAGACGAAACGTTTGAAATCTCAAATCTCGAATCGTTCGGCATTAATAAAAAAAGTGGCAGAAAAGCCCTTTTTTATTGCGGGAAAGCGTGCTCCACATAAGCTACCAATCAAGGTGATTTGCATTCTACCGGTTGTTTGTTGCAATCCTGAAACTAGAGTACTCGCGTACGACGGTTGCGGTTAACCCTGAAAATTACACGGGAGAACGGAATGTGGCCGCCGCCGCCGATGACGACGACGGCGACGACGACGACGACATCGACGGCGGGAAGGCTCGCGTGCATGGTGCATGTAATGCAATATATGCACCGTAAATGAAATAACGCGTTTCGTGTCCGAGCAAGCGTGATATGCCCACAACGTCGAAATTCGCCTTAAACATCTACTGTTAGCTCGTACAGAAAGTTCGTTGTTATAAAAATTCCAATTGCACACCCTGTACTCTCGACTCCGACTATTTTGCTCGAAAGCGCGACGTTTCTAGCAAAGTAGATTCCGTATCTCGCTAAAAGTCGTAACTACAAATACGGATCCCCATCTCTCATCTCTCTCTTTCTCTCTCTCTTTCACGACATTGCACTCTACGCTGACAAGGATCACTTCCCGCACACACTTTAATGGCATGTTCACTTAATTATCTCTTTGTGACTGGCTTATTTGGTAAATATACATATATAAGTATAGATAAATATACATATATATAAGTATTTTTTTTGTATTCGTACATATGCTGCACATGCACTTACACGTAATACGGTTAGCTTACGAACGTCTCACACTCACTTTCTACTTCAGTACTTACAACAGCAATATGTGCATGTGTGTCTATATATATATATATACATATTATATATATATATATATATATATATATATACACATACATATATATATACACATACATATATATATATATATATATATATATATATATATATATATATATATATATATAGGGTGTCCCACAACTGGTAAAACATCCGTTAGGGGTAGGTAGGGGATGAAATTTGGAACTGAAAGTTCCTCTTCCATTTTTGGATCCGACAATTAGTTAATTAATATATATTAATTAAATCTGCCAATCCCTTTGCGCCCCGAGTGAGCGCTTAGTGCTGTAAGACGCCATGGACTCCTTAGGGGCCCTGCTTGTCTGTATTGTTAGGAGTCTGACTTTTTTTCCCTTTTTTGTATCACAGAGAAATAAATATGGATGAATGAGTGAGTGAGTGAATGTGTGGATGGGTGCCTGACCGGGGCTAGAGGGTGGCAAGTTTTCAATGTGTGGGGGTGATGTATGGATGTTTTTGTGTGCGGTTATGAGTGCATAGATAATTTGAATATTTTTAGTGCAAGTGAGCGGAGTAATTGCACTTTATGTGCCGGAGGAGGAGGGCATGTGTTGTATGCTTCCTTCGAGAGCGCGGGTGACTTAAATGTTTTTTGCATGTCGGTGGTTGAGTATTGTGAATGATTTTAGTGTGTGTGTACAAAAAGGGGAGAAAAACAGACAAACAGGGCCCCTGAGGAGTCCACGTCTTACGTCCCTGAGCATTCACTCAGGATGCTAAGGAATTGGTAGACTTAATTGATTAATATCTCATTAACTAATTGTCTGATTCAAAAATGGAAGAGGAACTTTCAGTTCCAAATTGCATCCCCTACCTACCCCTAACGGGTTCTACCAGTTGTGGGACACCCTGTATATATATATATATATATATACACACCATGATTTTTATCCGATATCGTTAAAAAATAGTGGATGCACTTTTGCTTTATCAGAGATTTTATTTTATCTTCACGCGAGATCGGACGAATGTCCGGGAAAAGCACGTGGTAGAAATAAGGATAAAAGAAAAAAGACCGAGGGAACTTTATGATCGTGTAGCAGCCTTGGCGTGGAAACAACGTGGTAACGACAATTGGATGAGTAATACGGTGTGCATTCTTCGCGGTACGACCGGTGTGCGCGATAATAATCAGTGGCGTGGAATTCTTTTTTTTCCTCTACACTGGCACATCTTCATTTAAACGTGTTCTTTTTTCACTCGGGTAATCTGTTGACAGAGAGAAATAGCGTTTTATCGCTCGTCGGATATGTGGTTGACGATGTGACTCACGATTCTTTTTCTACTATTTTTTACTGAAACAATCGTAAAGGTGACTCGTGTCGTTTCGAAAAGACGCCGTTTGCTGCCTTTCGTTTCACATAATGCTTTCGCCGTGAAGCAGCGGTGACATATCAGCGATGCCTACATATTGTTGCAATTTTCCGCTCGAAGACACGCATCGATTAATAGTTATTTGATTCTTTTTCTTTTTTTCGAAATTAGTTGTTTCTCTTGTTCTTGATCGCGTACACGAATTGTTTTACATGCTATTTTTCCAGTTGAATGCTAATTTGGAGCGAATGTGGCGATTATGTAATATTCGCGTCGCAAGTGACGCATTGGTAGCTTACCTAAGATTTCCTCTCTCTCTTTCTCTTTTCGCAATAAAGTGCCAGAGGAATATCACTAAAAAGTTATCTTCAATTGTTTCACATTTTTAAGAAGCGCGCGTGTGATAATATATTTCAAATTTTAATTACATTTTAGCAAAACTAGAAATGCGTAGGATCTTTTTCGTTCTCTTGAATTCTGCACCGATATTTTCTCACGTAACAGCTATCGCATCGCTCGGAGAAATTCGTGGCGAAAGGCAAAGTCCTTTTTTATCGCTCGTAATCGACGCGCTCGATGAAGTGCCGATCGAAGGAGAAACGCTTCTGCGTGGAGCATTTGAATGCTACGTCCGACTTGCGTAATGGCAGATAATTGTTCTTACGTAGTGCGCTGATCGCTATTTACCGAATACTAATATGTACATGAATCATTTAAAAACCTTGCGGCTCATCACTTATTTTTAGCTTCAGCGAGCATTTACTATCAAATGACAAAAGAGCGACTGTCCTCTCAAATTTTGAGCAATCGCGTTTAGGCGAGTTTCGTGGACGACATTGAGAATCGGTCAATTGTGTAACCGTGGTAAAGCGATTAAAAGAAAGAAACGAGAGTGTTAATTACAGCGGTTGAACGATTAAGATCGTCGCCGTTGACGTGTACGCGAAAGAACGTCGGCGCATCAGGTATTTTTAATCGGTGAGCGCATTTGTGTTGCTATCGCCTGCAAGATTAATGCGCGATTTATAATACAGCACAGTCATTTTATCATCAAAAGAACATTCTCGCCAATACACGATGGAGTTGTTCCTCCATTTTACGTTACATCCGCAAGTCCCAGAAAGCCTATTCAAATTTTCATGTTAATTTAACATAAAGCGGATGTTAGAAAAACACAAAATATTATGTAAAAAAGTAACACAAACACTATCTTCAAAAAAATTTTGTATAAAATTCACATATAATGTCAAATATCAAAATATAAAAAAAATATTATTTTTATAACGACAAAAATATTTTAATTCCCACTTCTTTTTTATCATATTATTTTCAAGAGAGATCTCTATAATTTTCTCTATAAAATCTTCTTAATTATGTAACATTTAATTAAATCAATTTTAATGTTTGAAAAACTGGCCACGGATGGAATTAAACTTGAGAAATCTGACTTCTTGAGTCGTCTACTTTATCTACTACACTATTTCTAGTCTGACTGCAGACATACACATATGTTGCAACAGACGCTCCATGTTGTATATATTGTAAGAAGACAAAAACATAACTTTTCAGTAAAATTAACATTTATAATATGTTAATCTACATTAGAATATAAAATGTGTAATCTTAATACTACAAGTGCTACTTGAGCACTTACGTATGTTGAATAACGTTTTGAAATAACACAAACATATGTTAAATACATATGTATTATGTATTAATGTGTATTATTGTGTACTTTAACTTTTATTAATATCAAAGTGACTTTTTAAAAAAATTGATTCTTTTAAATAATCGTGTTGAAATAACTCAAAATAATTTCGTTTTTAGATAACATACAAAACTTGTTAAGTTACGAAGCCGCTTTTAATGTAACATATTAAAACGTCACGAAAATAATAACATGAATTATTTGTTAATTTTATATTGAAATAATAATAAAAAATTGGTAACACACAAGGGAATTTTAATATTTGTATGCAAGATTCTTTACGGTACACGCGAAATGTCAAGCGCGCTAATTGCATTCAAAGGGAAATTTTACCAGTTCCGAAGTGATTCGCTACAACTTTGGAATTGAACATCACGTGTAATCGTTCGGTCGGTGATAATAAAGATAAATTGTTCGAACACACGATAACTAGGATACGACACACTTATACGACCTATTGTTTGATAATTGTTTTCTTGGACGCTATAAGCTCAACGCCGATATCAGCAAGGCTGTTATATATTATTCTTTCTCTCTTCTTTTCGCGTTCTTACGAAGTTGATAATAATGCATTGCGATAAAAGTTCAGCAAACGCGAGTGACCGTAAAATGTCATAAACAAGGACACTGTATTCTCGGTCGACATAATATGTATGCGGCGTATTGCGAATGCTAATGTAAATAGTGACAACCTGATTGATTTTATCTACTTTTCGCGTAGCACAGTTTATGACTTGGATTATTTAATTCTCTTTTCCGATACATGTAAATCGAAGCTGATGTCGCATGTGTGCGATCATACAGCCGATTTTAAGGGCGTTATTTTATGTAGAACTTACAAATTTTCAATTTTCTTTTGCATTTCTTCCGAGTTTTGGATCTCATTTAGGCCAAGATACGTCTTTAAAGCATTTTGATGGCATTTTTTGGTGAAATTGATGAATTTACAAGTGTCTGAATGGAGCGGCGCACGCATATGCATGCATATGATCAAGAATGATACTTCTGCCATTATTTGTTCGCAACTTTTTTGGATATGTACGTAGCTTCGTTCCGCAATGTTTTGGTTTTCTTTATATAAATGAATGTTTTCTTTGTTTTGGATGCAAACATTGCAGTCGCGATCTTTTCTTGACGCATTTTCGAAAGATTATTGTATACATGGCTGGCAATTATTTTTGAAGCTCGAAATTTGAAGAAAATATAAAAAGAAAAGAAAAAAAGAAAAAATTTCATAATAAATTTTACGGAAGAAACTCATGGAGTAAATTGTTTCTCTTTCAGAATAATGTTACTTGAGAAAAGAGACGAGAGTTTTATTTGATTATAGAAATTAAGAACATTTATTTGATTCAAAATTAAGAAGCTATTATTAGGCGTTTTATTCGTATTTGCAGATATTAGAAAGGCTAAAGGAATTACTTTCAATGTCGACGACATTGGGACTTTTCACCAAGTTTCCGACTCGTTTTCACAGAGGAAACAACACACGGCAGTCTCTCTTCCATGCTACGTTCTTTCGTCTAATGAGCTTCAGACAGCAGAACTGCTCTCTCATAAGGCGACAATAATTACCGCCTAATTGGCTCGTCCTGCAACGAGAAGGTCATTATGTTTCTCGTAGTGTTATGTCATCGTATGATCTAAGAAATTTCACTGATTTTTCATTTTTACATCTGAGAATACTCATCTAGTTTAATGAGCTACTTCCACCAGATATGAAATTAAGTTAAAAACGGCAAAACCGAGGAGAGAAATCAAAGTGTGTTCTTTCTTTCTTTAAAAACGGAATTGTGATCGAAAATTATTTGAGAAATGGAATTATTTGAGAATAAAACTAAAGATATACATGTATGCTGAGAGAAACACTGTCAGGCAAAAACTATATACTTGCAACGTTTCGCAATGTAATCTTTTCCACGTGACACAATGACGGAACATAAAATCGTTCGTTACCATATCGCAGGTGTTACGCTTGAAGAGGTAAGCCGCAATAAAATATTTGTTAATCTAGACGAAGTTGCTCTTGCGTCAGTGCATTCGACCGGAAAAAAAGCAAAACTCACTTCGAGCAATTGTCTACATCGCTGAATAATAAAAGAAGAGAGAATTCCACGGAAGATTTTCGTTACAATTCACGTTGTGATTGTCGACAACCAGTGGTATGCGTGAAAGGAACGCGACACGTCTTGCCTGTTTATGATATTCCAATTTGTGACGAAAGAGGGTAGGCAAGTCGCGTAATGTAATTGGTGAACAAATTTGCGACGATGCACCTGGTAAAATAAAACATTTTACAAAGTAAATATGTCAATTTAATGCCAAGGCTACGAAAAACACTGCGATATTTTGAATAAAGGATTTCTGTTTCCGAAAGACATCCAAAAGTCACTCTGGATCAGTTAGGAAGTTCAAGATAACCACTAAAAAAGAGGTCAGTCTTGAGCAATGATTCTAACGGGGTCTCGGCCTGGGCAACGGTTGCATTTGTTGTTGTTGATGATGATTGGGATACCCTCCCCTCGAATTCGAGGTCTGTGTTCGTTCTGGTCCCTCATTAAGATTCAATCCGGCGACCAGTTGAGCGATTTCGCGATCCTTCTTCTCTTCCTTGGGCAGTGCATTCCCGTTCTGGGCGCTGAAGCCAAGGGAAGCCAGACTGCCGTGACTTCTACTTCGGTGTTCCGCTCGAATGCTGTAAGAAAAGGCTCTCTCGTTCAGGTGACCCTTCCGCCGGTATATCCCGGTACCAAAACGAGACTCGTTTTCCGGACTGTCTGCCGCTCGTGCAACTTCTGGCACGGTGAGGTCGGCATGAGAAGCGGCTAACCGTCTGGACGTGCCTAAAGTAGAGTTATCTGTCTCCGGATGTCTTCTGCTTCTGTTTCCAGCGGTGCCATACGAGCCCGCTGGATAAATGGCAGCCGCTGGTGCTGCGGATGGCGGTACTACCGGCAAAGGAGCATAGACTGGGACTATGGGTGCTGCCGCCGGAATGGGCCTTAAGCGCGGGTGATGATGGCTTTTCCGCGGTAAGGTGGCTGCTGGTACCAACAGAACCGGCGCCGGTCTGGCTAAGGTACCGGCGACAGATCGACTGCTGGGTGGTAGCGGATGGGGATGGTAGTGTTGCTGCCTGATGGGGTGGCCCAAAGTGTGATGCCCATGGCCATTGGTGTACACGCCTTGATGCATTTGATGGTGTAGGAGCTGTTGCTGTTGTTGCTGCTGCAAGGCATCCTCGTGCAACGAACGATTCTTCATCTTCTTGAGTTTCTTATTGGTTTTTCTTCGCGCGGATGAGGAGGCGGATTCCTCGAGTAACAACGGTTGAGCGGGAGGGGGTGGTGGTGGAGGTGGCGGCGGTGGTGCGACTAATTGACGCGGTCTGGATCCCTTGGTACTTCTCAGAGTGCCTTGTTCCTGATAAAGACCGTCGACTTCATCGCGACCCCTTGCCCACACTTTGTGATTCTCGTCGCCGTTGTACAGACTGAGGTCGTCGGTCGATGTCGCATCCAGACGGGTTGCCTGAGGACTGTCTAAGGTAGTGCTTGAACCGCCCAGGGTATGGTACAGGCTATTGTTCGACTGATGACCTGGCATGACCCCGTTGGTCGTTGCCGACGACGGCTCTAGACCTTTCGCGTAGCTGCTGTCTGCATAAGCGTGAAAACAACATCTTACCAGGGCGTTAGCCGCCATGTCCCGCTTGCAGATGAACGCGTGACATTCAAGGACCTTGATGCCAGTCGTCCTCCGCAGCACGGCGGCGAACAAGGGCGGGTGATTGGCGCTGGGCGTTCGTGCGAACGGCGAGTCCAACGGCAGGAATCGCGTGTTGGAAGCATCGCCGTTCCCACCTTTAACGTGTCGCACCGCGGCGCAATAATGGAGCGCCTCGATGGGAAAGAATCGTGTGACCTTTTTCCGATGTTCGTCAACGTTCTCCAGCAGCAGACCATTGCTCCACACACTCAGCCAGGAGTCGATCCCACGTGCACCCAATGCACCTTGTTCGGGGTATAGTTCCCTCAGAGGCTCCTGGACGCCCAGGAGGCCCTCTTTGCTCGCATGAGGTACCGAGCTACCCAGGTAGAGTACTCTACACCGACAGTACGGTGTTGCTGTATCTTGATTAGCTCCCCTCATCTTTAACAATACGTGACTGATTTATCGAACGGGATTTAACCGGGCTTAACCGCACGGACAAAAACCGGAGATCACGATCGTGAGTCGGATCTACTCGAGCGTTAATTACCAGGCAACGCAGCTTGCTGCTTTCTACGCGCGGTATCGAATCACGAACGTGACACGAGAACTCATTGTGTGTATTAAAGTACACGACACATTCGCGTAACAGCGGCGAATGGGACTCCACCCGGTTTCTCTGGTATAGTCGCTTTCCAAAGACGGCAGAGGCGGTGTACCTTCGCGTATACGTCGTCGCCGCACGATGTTGCAAAATATGCTCGCGCGGCAACAGCGAGAGGAGCTCGGCGGCGCGGATATTTCACAGCAGCTGTAGCCGCTCGCTCGAGATCGCGTCAGGCCATTATGGCTACCTTCTTACGAGTCCCCCACCAATATCGGGCCGCTTCGTTCTTTCTCTTTTTTTCTCTCGTACCTCTCTCTGTCTCTCTGCCGCTCTTACGTTTTCTTCCCCTCGCACCTCTTTCCCGTTCCCTTCTCTGTCCGTCTCAACGTCGCTTCCTTTCAGCTAGCTCTAGACTTCTCTCTATTCCCCTTCTTCGCGATACCGGGCCCGGGGCCTCACTGGTATGCGGCGCACATACAGTGGCGTCGTCGTAGCCGCCGTTTCTCACTGACGCACCTCCACGTGTACCCGCTGTCACACGTATGCGCGCACATTCAGCACATGTACACTCGCGGCCAGCTCGACGCAAACATCAAGTGACGAGCGTTAATGAGGAAACGACCGCCAGAACGGTGACGTCGCCAGAACGATGATAATATGATGGGCAATATTTCGCTGCGGGTCGCGTGTTGGTGTTTGCGGAATTTAGAGGCGCGGTCGTAAGCGTCAGCCGCGAGAACCACTATGCGAGACACCGGTGGGTCTCATCAGGCTTCTCACGGGGACGGCGAAAATGGCGGAGGCTGCTCTTGGCTCGTGCCAATAGCTAACTTGGTGTCCTCGAATGATCAACGTCTCGCACATGAAGACCACCGGCGGCCTGAAAATGAGCGACGCGCTGATGAAACGGGCCTGAAGAGCGACCAACACGTCGCCATGCGCACAGGAAAGCCGTTCTTACGTACACATTTCCCGTTTTGCGCTCGCTCGCGCGCGCGTGCACATCACACACACCCACACCCACGCACACGCACACATGCACGGGCGGTCGAGCGGAGCGGCAAACCACTACTAGCTGCCAGTACGTTCTTCTGCGGACTGAGAACTGGTGGAAGACCTGAGACTTCGCGACTGGACCCCACTCCGTCGGCTTGCAAACCCCACTCTCCTCACGCTTTTCATCGTTGGGTCACTCCCTGGACTCCGATCATGTCACCGTGCCTATCTACCTGGCCGCGGTGAGCACGCCGTTCAGGGGGTGCGGGAATTGTGTCGAGGAAATGAACATTCTTCGGCTTGATTTTACGTAGGCGCATTAATGGTGCTTCCCCTTTTCCCGATGCGAGTGACGCAACGCGCGCTGCTTCGTCGTTGACAGCAGCGGTACCTTGACTTCGTGTGACATTTCGAAGGAATTTTGTTATGCGTCGGGATACGTTGCGGGAGAGCCGTGTCTTCGATACAGTGCGACGACAGCAGCGATAGATTGCACACGACGTGGACTTACCGTTGCGAATCCCGACGCATGAGCGTGAACGTTGACTGCCAACATAAAATTGTTATTGGAGGATTAATCATTTTTTCGATTTCCAACGGAAATAGAACAATAATACAGTCCTTTCTAGCATATAACACGCATACCCTACGTGGAGCCGAGCATTTAGTGACGTGTAAGACCGCGCATGTCGAGTTGCCCTTTATAGGTCAGGGATTGCGTATGTATCGTGAAGGAAAGCCTCCGGCGTATGCTTTTTACAAGCCCCGAACACGGGAAACGGACGATTCTTTTCTAACAAAAAGGATTATTCGGAGTCTCGAGGTCGTCACGTTGAAACAGCACATGACTGCGAAGGTGAAATCATAAATTTATGTTGCGCAACGATATGATTTGAACCTGTTTGCCAAGCCAGACAGGTGGACGGAAGGGTCTTCTGAGTGAACTAATTTTGTGGCTTATATTTATATAGCCATTAATGTAAATATTAATACAACTCAATCCTTTTTCACGGAGCAACAAACAGACTTTACATCACACATTTCTATCTACAGAATATTATCTTATAATTAAATTCACGTTTTGCAGAATAAGAAAAGTTTTTGCGTCTAAATTATTTGTGCTATAAATATGATACAAGTGTCTGATTGATTTTTCTCGAAGTACTTAGAAGATATACATGCAAATACAGCGGGAGGAGGGCATACTAGGAAGTAGCGGCGGGACGCCGTGCATTCGAGATCTGCGTATCTTTTTCGTTCCAGAAAGAGAAAAATATCTAGAGCGCGGTCTTGCTAGGCCGGGACTCGAACCCGGGTCTTTCGCTTGCCGGGCGACTGCTCTAAATCACTGAGCTACCTGACGCTCCACGCTCACGACACTCTCCTCTTCCTAGATAACGCTCAGAGATATCGTTCGGAAGCGACATTTCTGACGCGATCCCGAGCGCACGGCGACTACAGAGAGAAACAATGTTACTGTACCAAATGGTACAGCTGTCAGTTTCTCAAAGTCAAAGGTTGCTATCCTTTAAGACCTGCTGTCCATGTATGCCCGTCTCCACCGTTGCCCCTCCTCATCCGGTGCAAATAATACAAATAAGCCCCGGGGTCGACACCAATTTTTTGGCAGCGCCCGGGTGCTTGGACGCAATGCGCCATGGGGAATCCACCACAGAAAGAGGAAGGCATACTAGGTGGCGGCGGGACGCCGTGCGTTCGAGATCTGCGTATCTTTTTCGTTCCAGAAAGAGAAAAATATCGAGAGCGCGGTCTTGCTAGGCCGGGACTCGAACCCGGGTCTTTCGCTTGCCGGGCGACTGTATTTTCGCGATTAATCGGATGTTATTATATAATGCGGTATATTTCCAACACCATTTCGAAGAATCGAATTTTGTTTTGATGCTTGACATTTGTGATTCGATTTTTCGCATTTTGTGTGCCATTAGTACAAGCTGCGTAATTTCACAGGAACGACGCTTTTTCCATAGAGTTAGTCACTCGTTTTCATCGCGGAGAAACAAAATAACGACGACGACGACGAACGTTTTTCTATACTAATTATCCACGAGTGTGTCATTGACAGTACGACGGGAAAATCCAATGGCGGGTTCGTGTCGCAATGTGAAATCGCGTAGACGCAGAATCAGGGTCGCGTGACCGGGACCCTGACCGTGGGCCAATGTCAGCATTTTTCAGTGGGAATTCTTCTCGAATCCTTTCGCAGACAGAGCTGACATATTTAGAAGCGGGCGAATGCAGCGGACTCATTTCCGTTCGACGCGAAACGTAAGAATTAACTGGAGTACTGTTGCGTGTAACTGTATCACAATTATAACGTTAAAGATACAAGCTTGAGATCCGATTATGATTCGTCGCTTCACGGTTCTTGAAGTTTGCTACTGAGAAGCCCGCAGATCGTATCTTGGAAAATATTTTAGAACCTGATGGCATGCACTGTAGTGGAAAATATTATCTCTTATGCTCCTTTAAAAATAAGATTAGAGAATTCACTTTTTTATAGCCGCTTTGTGAAGACTGTACGTGTTATTTTAAGATCATCATCTTTCCCGATATAGATACACATAGTTATGTCCCAAATACCATGTTCCAGCACGACGACATTTTTTATTAAAAAAAATGTCGTAAAAAGAAACGTCGCAGGTCCTCTGCTATTTATCGTGTTTCTTTTTTTTTTTTTTGTTGAAAATAGATATGTCCGAGACAATCTGAAATGGCTGGTTAGTATGCAAAGAGTCGACTCCATCGTGGCATTTTAGGATTGAGATCGTCGGCCTTCGAATGTGCTTTCATGTGCCTCGAAGGACGGCTGGTGTGTATAACGTCCAATTCACGAGACCCCCATAAGTCGAAAATGCCGCGGTCCCTCCCAATTTGTTATAAAAATAAATTATTAGCAAGTCCAGTTCAATCTGGAGACAATCTCAGCTTTGTTATTTCAAACCGTTTAAATTTACGTATATATATGTAGAAATCTACGTACGTTAAATTTGTCCAAAACCGGCAGACGAAAATCGATCGACGTCGAGTAGGTCAGTAGGTCGTCGTCACGTTAATTACAAAGAATTCAAACATGGTGTGTACAGTGCAATCACCTCTTGTCCAAGAATCCTCTCCAATCCCCTCTTTTCGTGTACTCCGTTTCCCGTGCGACATCTCGAGTACACATGCTCGACAGCGTTTATTCATGTGACCAGTTCGCTTGTCGATGATATACATACGAGGATAATGGCGGGGCTATTAATCTACTGGAACTATTCTTCAGAGAAGGTTCTGGTTTAAATAACCGAAAAATAGCAGGTCTTTACTAATTTTTTCAAAAAAATTAATTTAAAAACTGTATTGTATTTTTTGAAGGATAAACCTAAATATTCTTTGAAAAATTTCCAAAATTAGTATTTTTCTCGGTAATAGGAGAGGGAGAGAGGAAAAATGAACTTCGAAGTTGTAACTTTGAATAATAAACTTATAACTTTGAAGTGTCGTCATTTTGTTAAATTTTGATTTTCTGCATGTAACAAACATTTATTCTCCAGCAAATTTAATGTAATTTTTAAATTTTCTTGTCCTGTTTGTTTCAGATTATTATACGAGCTGTAACATCAGTTAAAATTGTTCGATCACACCGCGTTTAAAAAATCTGAACGACTAAATTTCAATTTTTTAAAATAAAAATTGTATTTTAATAATTTTTACTTTGATAATATTTAAATACTTAAAACAATGCTAAATGGTATGGTCAAAACTCTATATTGATATATTTATTTGTTTATTAAAAAAAATTAGTAAAAATCTATTTTTTCGCTACTTAAACCAAATGCCCCTTAAAAAAGTTAAGTAATGTTAAAACAATTCTCCTGGTATAAAAAATAGTCATTCTTTTGTATAATATATAAAAAATTAATAAAAAATGGAAATCCTCTTATATATATTCATATTTAAGACAATGAAAGGTCATAACGGTTGGGTGTAGTAAGTGTGCAAATCAATATTTATTATTCAGGTCAGGATAACTGATTGTTGTATAACAGATGATGCTTCCGATTCGCACGTGTCCTTGAAGTGAGTAATCCTCAGACGGAACTGATCCATCCTGACAAAATGAGTTAAATCCGATGAATCGGCGTGGCTGGGCGTCGCGAGAAAGCATGCCGCCACGTCGGGGATTTTAACGGCTTTCTAACAGACGGTCGAGCGGACAATTCGAAAGTTTTATGCAAACAGAGGCGACGGCCGAGGTCTTAGCGTACTCGCAAAAATCTATGAAACGCACAAGTTTGTCGACCCGGCATAAATACCCGCGTGCACCGCCGCCGGTTCGCCGAGGCGCGGTGGTTTCTTTCACATGCGACGGCCAATTGTTTTCCGCATGCCTGGAACTTCCACGATGCGTAAATGACGACGTCCGCGCGATTAAACCGCGAGAAAGTTTGGTGAAACGTATAGGAAAAGACGCTTAAGCGCTGTAAATCACGAATCATGTCGAAGTCGACGTAATTCGTAATCGTAATCCTTTTAAAAAAATGCGCATAATTTTACCAAAATTGTACATATAAAACTTGTTATTTGTTTATTTTTACTTATATGTTTGTTATTTAAATTGTGAACGTAAATTAGAATATTATCTAAATTTAAGTATCGTGAAAGATTGTTATGGTAGCATACTGAGAGAAAAAAGTCGAAAGAAGAAAAATTGTCGATCTAATTAAAATCATCGTTATTTCTGATCCTAACCGCATTTCTTTTTCTAATACGAAAATAGAGTAATATGTATATAAGGTTCTTATCACTAACATTATAGTAGAATTTAATAAAAAAATATTTTTCTTGACCACAATTTATAATAATTATTTCTCTATGTGATTATATCTCTTACGCACAATTAACTGCCAATCTGTATGTGAGTAAATTGTTATTAGACTTTTTCAACAGGTTCCAACGAGCGGTTGGTTCCGTTCCATTTAACTACTTTTATGCTGCGAATTGCTCGCATTCGATTGCACTCGGTGCTGTCCGCTCGCGGTGGTCGATAGCGCGACCCGGCATTGAAGTCTCCACGTTGAGTAACGGGA